ACACACACACGTATACACACACACACACGTATACACACACACACACACATATATATATATGTCAGTCAGATGTGGATATATTTAATATTAAGGACTGATATGGTTGTCATGGCTGCTATATGGTGACTTAAACCTCTAATATACGTTTATGGTCATGAATTGTAAAATCTGGATGTTAAGCTTTAAACAAAAATGGAAGCACAAAGCCATTCTGACCTTTCGATCATGGTGCCGTTCTGGATCATCCATACGTCACAGTAGGTCCTGGTCACCAACATGGCAGCAATAAGGATAAGGTAGCCAGTCTGTAGTGGAGAGTTGGGAGAGGCTGTAAAATACTGCAGATCATTAGGTCCTTTATCATCCTACCCTTCATATCTACTGAGGTGTTCGGATAAGACACAATGAAGCCAGAGGAGCCTGTGACCTCGGGTTATGGAGCTGATGTATCTGTGCTAAAGGACTCTGCTGTCTGTACAACCAGTCAGAATGACTAATGCTGACTAAGGCATTTCAAGGAGATGTTCATGCTTCACTTCTTCCAAATGTATTCAAATCGATTTTCCTGAAGCTCCATGGAGAAGAGGATTCTTTCCATTATAAAGATTTCTTGAATGATATACCGTTGTTATAGATATGGTGTCTGGTTGAAGCCATTTCTTTGTAATGGCTTTTCTGGCAAATGCACTCATTCAGTATTTAAAAAATGAATTAACCCCAATTAAAAGTATTTTCTGTCTGAAAAATAAGCACTAATTCTGTCTAAATCTTATGCTAAAATCTACATAATCTACTTGGACAAGACCAAACGTAAATACTGGCTTTTATGTAAACGTAGTCCCCTTTAGAGTTTTCCTCTTCCTAATATAAACTTTCAATAGGTGGTTTTTAACTGTTTTTCTGACAGCACACCTGAAGAAATAAATAAAACGTCACTATTATTTAACCAACGTCCCGCAATTTAAAAAGGTGAAGTATGAGGAAAGGCCCCGACTAGCCCATAGCTTATATCTCACCACCAATTTGTTTGGGGTAAAGTCAAGGGAGCACCATTTGGGAATACTCATCTCTCTAAACTTTTAGTGAGAATATTTAACCATGTTTTCAGGGATAGCTTAATGAATGCGTTACCTGTTTCCATCAAGTCTTTAATCTAATAATTTAAATTATTTATCGCCTAACCGTGGCTGAATGGGCCCTGGACATATTCTTGATTCCATCTTGCTTGATAATCAGAACAACAAAATTAGGTCTTCAGTTGGCTGATATTTAATAGTTCTGTAGGCAGTAAAGTGCAACTTCTAACCTTGGTCCTCGCCAATCAAAGAGTTTGAAATTTCATCATTCTATTTTTCCCTTTCCAAATGTACTCGGATATTAATGTATCCCAATCGTTTGTTATTTCAACTGAAGAGTTGAAACAAATATATTGCCCTAGGCAAGAATTCATTTTTACCGACTCAATTTGTGAATCAAAACTTAAAATCTGAATTAAATTTCATCTCTTTATGTCCTTCATTTATGACTGGGTTCAAATTGAAGGCATACAATGTGTTTTGGGATTTTTACAATATATTTTACAATAACGTGTTTGCAATATTGTATGGATGCATGAGCGCCAAGTATCAATCTTTTATTATATAAACTATTAAAATTGCTATTAGGGATGTAGGGATCAAGCGATTTGGCAGTAACTGCAGTTATACAAGTCAGGGTTTCATGGCCATAAGAAGTGAAGAAGCTTCGATATCTATGATTTCCTGTTTTCTGCATTAAGACAAGTTGTTTGTGTGTGCGGTGAAATCTCCTCTCACACGAGTCACACAACACGTGTGGGTACACCGGTTTGTTTTGTGTGTTGAAGAGAGTCGTGTCAATCACCTGAAACACTGCTGAAAACATTCAGAGGGAACCAACAGTCCAGCCTTATACCCGCCAAAAAGAGCCTCAACTCAGCAATGTGAGAGCATTTTGGATATAGAAATGACCAGGGAGTCATGTGAAACACAGATCAATTACAGTTTATTCATCATAGCAAGAACAAATGTTTTACTTCCAATCGTCATCGGCCTACATTTAGAAGTAAAATGCGATCTGAAGATTGCCATCGATTCTTTCTAGTTGCTGGTCTGATAATGAAACAATGTGAACAACAAATACCTGCTGACATTGTCATGTGAAGAGCTGGTAAGGTTCATAATGTTGACAGCAACAGCTGTTATAGAGTACCGGAAAAAGCCTTATGGAGGTTCCTTTGAGTTACATTGTGGTGCGTTCAAGCTCGATTCAGTAAAAATGAGTGTTGGACGAAAGTAAATTATAACGTTATTATGATGTATTCAAATGTAATCTTGTAAAATGTAGTTTCCATGAGAAAGTTGTTGGAGATGTTTTGACAGCAACATAAATCGATATTAGAGATAAATGATGAGCTGTTTAACTTCCTAACACAGCGAGCTCTAAGCGGCTTATTTTTAGCAATACAAATAGAATCTGTCATTTCCAAATCATTTGAATTGTATGTTTTTATGCAAATCACCACTATAGATGATTAAAACAAAGTGAAAATGAATTAGTTGATAATAAATAGTCTTTGTTAAATGGCTATGGGTCTATTAGAAATTAACTGAACAGCTTTGTCTTCACTTGCTTTAGCAAGTCTCCAAGAGAATTTGAGTTATAACCTACAACTTTTAACGCTATCTTGGTTAATTGTTTTCCCCAACATCAAATTGAATGTTTTATAATCTAAAGTAGTCTTTCATGCAGGATTGCCCATCAAGCCCTCCAACTGCAATGAGAACTCCATGCGCAAGCAGGTCCATTCTTTACTGCCAGCTGCACTGTATGCACAAGCCCACAGTTCACCCGTCCAGGACAGTCAGCAGACACAAAGTTACATACGGAATTGCATATTTGTGGACACATGCAGCCACTTTGCTAATAGCTGTGAGGTTGTCAGCTGTGTGTCTGCCTGATATACTGTAGCGAATGTCCAGTCAAGAGAAAGAGCGTGTGTGTGAGAGCGAGTATGACGCCAACAGTAGCATTATAGCTGTGAAGTGTGTGTAGAGTGTATTTATTAACTCTAAGACACAAGCCAAGGTCCAGTGTCTGGCCAGCTTTCAGATGATTACAGTGACGGGCGTTAGCCTTGAAGTTAGCAACAACTCTGGTTCAGGCTCAAGTTAGGTGGGCCGGCTTTACGGTTAAAGTTTTTTTGTTTGTCATTGCACAGCAGGGTTGCACAACAAATTTCAAATTGTTGTCCCATTACGCTCCATAGGAAAACTAAATGATATATGGAGGGTAGAGGATGAGTTAAGGAGTCTCACAGCCTGAGGAAAGAAGCTGATCTGAAGTCTGCAGGTTGGACAGCTGATTTTTCTGCATCACTTTCCAGACAGCAGCAGGTGATCAGGTTGTGGATGGGTGGGTTTAGTCTTTTAAAATCCTTTTAGCTCTTCTCAGGCTCCTCTTGTTAAATCAGTCAAAATATGTACTGTCAGTAAACGGTTAAATGCTGAATTATTAACTTCAAAGAGAAAAAACATCCAGATTTTATGGAATAAAATGATTCCCCAAATCAATTTTCAATAATAAGTTCACAACTTAGATTTTTAATTCCAAAAAGGTGTTTTCAGCATTGAAGGATAGGCCATTGTCTTGATTCTTAAAGTTTAACAGATCATTGGTTTAATGCCCTCACAACTTGGGGTGACATGATTTTGACCCGAAATAGAAAATCTATCAAAATAAGCTTTCGATTTCAACTTTTCAAAAGAAAGATTTGTTAGTCTTATTCCTCCAGTCCCTCCTGCCATCTAGTGGATCTTCTTATTACGGTGCCGTACTGTATAACAACAGCGGTGACCGTTACTAAGATTACTATCTCTTCTCTTGCTGATTTGTTGTTCACAGTGTACACGTATTAGTCTAGCGCCTAGAAAGCATCAGTGCCAATATTCAGGTCGGATATTTTTTACTGAGTATAGGCTGAAACAGGAAATCATAGAGATCAGCTTCTTCAGTTCTTCGGGAAAAATATGGCGATACTATGCTGTATCGATTTCTTCACCCACCCCTCGTAACTAGTCATAATGTCCCCCTGCATACATGAATGTTCTTATTTTTTAGATTTTGCAATAAAACAATGTTTAGACTGAAAACAATCCCTCCTTATTATCAATGATCCCGTATGACCCATTGCAGTGAGTAGCAGTGAGTAGCAGTGGGCAGCAGTGGGCAGCAGCCTGCATCTCCTTCCTTCTGATTCTGTTTGTTTGTTTCTGGCCATCAGCTTGGGAGCAGTGGGTGTGAAGCCCCCGGCCTATAGGTCAGGTCCTAGTGACCGGAGCCTGTACTAAGAAGAGAGGTCAATGTCATACCTCCTTGCAGAAAACTTGAGGTACCATGATCCCCAGAATCTGGAAGATTCGGCGGAAGAAAGCCTTGTCCACTGTTGCACGGTCTTTTCTGCCATCTTTCTGCATGAAGAGACAGAACAAAGGTGGGCTGTGATACAACTACAGCAAACAATTTAAGACACATTTTATGGAAACTTTATCTGCTTCAGACACACATGAAACATTTACATACCTCATTGTTCGACACTATATCTGAACCTCCTTTTCTGCTGCAAGGAAAGAACAATGAAATCACACAGGTTACATGTTAGTGAGCGGTACAGACAAATCACTCACACAACTGATGACCTATATGCATTTCCAGCAAAATACTTATTTTTCATTCATATCTATGCACACGTTTACAGGTTCATGTAAACATTTACAAATGTATCTACATATTTACAACTTTCAGTACGCATTTACACTTTCTTTTATACTTTTACAAAGCTGATTCGCACAGACAGATTGAAATACAGCTGCATAACTCTCCACACAAATGAGCAAATAGCTACAATAATGGCCTATTTCAGACAGCCCACCAGAACCCCAACAATCCGAACAAAAGCTGATACAAATAGTTACAATAGTAGTTACACAACAGGCTCAGGGTCAGCTTCTCTTTTACCTCGTGAAGTCCTAGTTCTAAAAATAGAGTTTGGCTTTTCTATTCTCTCCAAACGAGAATCCCCTTTAGAGTGATCAGAGATACTCAAATAAATACATTAAAAAGACCCAACTTAATCAAAGTTACACTAATCTACCGTTCATGGTGTTCACGCAGTAACGCTAATGTGTTAGTGATTGTTTTACACAGCGTTCACATTCCTATTATAACGCTATGTTACGGTGCACTGGTATTTGAGCTAGTCAGATGAGTGAGGGAGCTGCGGAGAAGAAGAAGCTGAATGAAGTGTAGCTTGTCCCAGCGGCAGGTCGCAGTCACCTGCTGTCAGAACGGGAACTAGCAGTTGCTACTTAGCATCCAGAGAGCTTTCACTAACTCACCTGAAAGCAGCGTGTTCTGCGTTTCAAGGCAACACTTACCCGTCCCGTTTGACCGTCCGTCTTCTCCGTTTCAGCAGGTATAAAACCAGCAGAATACCGCCTGCTATGGAGGAGTTCTTTGCTGTCAGATATTTACTGTAAATCGCCATGTCGCCTAACACAACGACCAAGGGACAATTAGGTTGAGCTATGTCGAGGTTGCTACAGTTCACAATGGCATTCTGGGAGTCTTCTTCTTCGTTGGGTTTTAAGGCAGCTGGCATCCGATATGTCGCATTGCTGCCCCCCTCTGGATGTAGACCATTACTGTGCAATCTGCCTACTAGATCCTTTTTATTCAACCAGTGTCTCTCAATAAGTCAAACAGATATTATTCCTTTTCCTTGACTTCCATACTCCAAAGCATTCCCGTGTCGTGGGATATTTCTGTTATTCCCACATTCCTCTTTTTCGTGAACATCACTTCTCTTTCTGCTCCATACCTCCTACAGGACATGTACACGCTGCACTGTGTCTGGCCGCTGGCACTGCTTGCATAAGCCTGTTAGATGCTTGCCCAAGATGCATAGTGTGCTGCTCGGATTCTGGTCAACTTTACCTGCTCCCTCACCTCCCTCCGTTTACTGGTGTCTCCCTTTCGTCTTCCTGCCCCACCACTCCTGGTTTATTTTTTTCTAAACAATACTTCTTCCCAGGGGCGTTTCTAGGATTCAAAGAAAGGGGGGGCTTAGCCCCAAGGAGAGGGGCATGTTTGTGAGGGAAATTTTTTTGGGGCCCATTTGGGGCCGCGGATATCCATTGTTTCAGACAGTTCATTCAGAACGAGTGTGATTTTGCTCTGTAGTTTTGCTTGCATTCAGTATATGATAACACAAGAGACAGAATTTCATATCTTTCATACTTTCATATCCGCGTCACTCCCAAATCCTAATTCTTAAAGGGACCGCACACAATGGATGGAGAATGGACCTGAGAGTGTCAACTTTTGAGTTGTTTACTTGCTTTATTATGAGCAGAAGGGAATACAATTTTGATCAACATTTACATCTATTTTGTTGTCCGTGTAGTTTTTACATACCAGTGATAGTTTATGCTCATTTGGACACTATCACTGAGATAAAGATGAACTAGTTCAGTATCAAATATACCATTCAATGGAAAAAAAACATGAATAACAAAAGTAAAAAAACACATTTCAAGTACATCTTAATTATCGAATGATAAATATTGTATGAGGGGCTGAAATGGAAGGAATCTTCTTATACTCATCTGGTCAATGAATTGGATGATATACTGGTACAAGAGCATTATGAGGGACACTATGACATTTAGTTTTCACTAGCACTAACTGATTATAAACAACAACATTCTATAGGGACTGATATTATTGTTTCGAAATACTAGAGAGATACATTAATGCAAAGAATAGAGAGATGTCGATAGTTATTTCTTGTATTTCGAATTTGCTCGTTCACACTCTTGCTCACTGGAGACAGTTTCTAACAAAATAGCTAGCTAGCTAGCTGTGCATAGAGTGTGCACAGCTGTCTCGTGTAATGAAAGGCACATTTTAAAGAACAACTGGATGATTCTGTTTAAATAATAAATAAGATGTCCAGAGCTGACCTCTTTAAGGGCGTCGGTAGGAAAGAAGTTAAGAAGTTCCTTTATTTATCACTAAATATTCTCGTTGAGATTAAGCCTGTTTAGCGGCATATTTTAAAAACTGCCCCTCATCTATGTAATGCTTCAACAACCCTATTCGAGTAGTTTTCTTACATGATAGGATCCTTACAGACGCTCTAGTACAGTGGTTCTCAACTGGTCTGGCTGCGGGACCCACCATCACCCCTTAATGACAAGCCATGACCCAAATCGAGGAAAATTTTCAACTTCTCAAATGTATTTAATGAAAAGATAGTGCAGTTTGAACCTGAGCTGAAAATGTCCTCTGCAGTCATAGTGTAGGGAGCTCTCTTGTGCAGAGAAATTGTTCCTGTAAGTCCCCGTCCCACACATGTTTCACGTAAACGAGTAAAACTGCTTTGTTTGTTATGTCTGTAGATTCGTCCATTTGTAATGCAAAAGGTCCACTTGCCTTAATTTGAGCTGTGGTCTGTTGTTTGATGTCATCCAACATGTCTTCAATTCGTCTACTTAGTGTCATTTGACAGAGGTATGAAAACGGGTCCGCGACCCACTTTTGGGTCGCGACCCACCAGTTGAGAAACACTGCTCTAGCACTTTCAGACCAGCCGCCTCCAGAAATCCCTCCACAGCACATAAACACCCCCATTCAGCTAGGAAAATTCTCATCAAGGGGGTTATTTCTTGCACCACGAAAGGCATTTTTTATATTATTTCATGCCTGTTTGGCGAATATGTGGGCACATATAAGTGTGCCCTTAGGGTGCATAGCAGCTTCGTATGATGCAAAAATGTTATTTACCCTGTTGCAGCACACTTTATTGAGGCTGGTCATGCCATCTCTGCTCTCCGGTATACATGTGCAAAGAAAAAGTGACTTTCTCACTTTGGATTTACCTAAATACTCTCGCCCCTAATGGCCTCAATGTTGAATTTGACTTACAGTAATTAGTTTATCGCCTATACACTGATACATAGTAGGTGCCTTCTCTCTATCTCTGTCCTCAGCTTTTTCTACTTCCTTATTCTTTCTGTAATTAAAATCGTTGTTTTTTTCTCTGTATTTTTATGATATTTTTCCAAATTTGTGTCTTATATATCTGTCATATTCCTAATAAGTGTACTTGAGATATTATGTCCTTCAGGTGTCCTTTTGGAACCTAATTGGACCTTAAATAGTATCTATTATGTCTGCCTTAATGCTGTGTTTCGTCATAAGGCTGCATTCTAGACATATAACTTTTATGATGGTAATATGTAAACCATTTTGATGGCCGTACAACCTTTGTTTTTTTTTTGATCAAACTGTTTCTCTAATGTGACTTTTAAATACAATGAGACCTAATGCTCCTCCGACAATGTATGAATCTGACTGAGGACACCCCTCCCCATGACTGAGCACACCTGTGTCTTATCCCTATTTAATACCTGTGGAGCTGTTTCTATTCCTTAATTCCCTGAAGAAGACAGTGATGTCAAAATGTTGGTAAATCATGAAATAATTGTTTTCATTTTTCCGTTACACTTGTGTTTTCACTGTGGTAAACACCTCTCCAACACTGGTGTGCATTCCCGCTCTCTCTCATCCTGAGAGAGCTGTCTCATGTTACCATGCCATGTCAGTTCTGGCTCTCCCTCCAGGAAGGCAGTCTAAATCGAACAGGAAAGCATTTTAAAAGCCAGCTGAAAGAGCAGAGGACTGCTGCTGCTCAGTGACAGTGACATGGAGAGCCTGGACCGCACTCTGTTCCGTCTGGAACAAGGTAGGACTTTGCACTTTAACCACGCATGTTAATAACTGCTGCGACATTACACCACAATAGCACCACTACATTGTTAGCTGAAATACAATGCAACTGTACTATTGTCCTTCAGCAGAAAAATACAACACACACCATTTCTTACATGTGTAACCTTTAAAAGTGTGGTCCTGCAGTCTTGTTAGCAACTGGGTCACTGTTTTACATTCTCGTCTATTCAATGCACACAGAATGTAAGGCTATCTGAATATGGCATTCTCTGACATTTTTCACCTTTTATTTAGTCAGGACGTTGCACTCGGAGTAAAGTTCTTTTTTTCAGGTTGAACATACAGGTGCATCTCAATGAATTAGAATATCATCGAAAAGTTAATTTATTTCAGTAATTCAATTCAAAAAGTAAAACTCATATATTATATAGATTCATTACACACAGGGTGATATATTTCAAGCGTTTATTCTTTGAATTTTGATGATTATGGCTTACAGCTAATGAAAACCCCAAATTCAGTATCTCAGAAAATTAGAATATTACATAAGACCAATTTAAAAAAAGGATTTTTAATACAGAAATGTTGGCCTACTGAAAAGTATATCCATGTACAGTATACAGTATGCATTCAATACTTGGTCGGGGCTCCTTTTGCATGAATTACTGCATCAATGTGGCGTGGCATGGAGGTGATGACACTGTGGCACTGCTGAGGTGTTATGGAAGCCCAGGTTGTTTTGATAGCGGCCTTCAGCTCGTCTGCATTGTTGGGTCTGGTGTCTCTCATCTTCCTCTTGACAATACCCCATAGACTCTCTGGGGTGTAACAGTGTATTCTAGTCATCCTCATTTCTACAACTGTCTTCAGGCTTTGAGCTGCAGTTCCGTCTTGGCCCTACCCTCCAGGGTAAGTCTGTCAAGGTCTACACCAACTACCCTGCAAAAGGCCTCAAGTTTGAGCGCCTGAAGTTCCGTCCTTTGGACTGGGTCTACCCGAACGAGCGGGAGGATGACCGTGATAAATACTGCAAACTGGACTTAATGGTGGCTGGATCCTATCAGTACTACTTTTCCTGTGGGTAAGTTGCTTTGCCACCACTACTGCATTATTATATTCACTGATTAATGAAAAGTGTTAATAGTGAATATTATATACTTCATATTTTATAACTACTGTTTAGCACTACTATCATTACTGTCACTTTCCTTTACTACTTACTTAACCCTCATCATACCAACACATTTAACATACATGGACTGCTGACGCAAAGAATGAACTAAAATGTGAACTTATTTCTTTCCAAATGGACTGTACTTATATCTCTCTTTTCTAGTCTTCTGACCACTCAAAGCTCTTTCACACTACATGTCATCATGCACCCATTCATACACTGATGACAGGGGCTACCATGCAAGGTGCCACCTGCCCATCAGGACTCTAACATTCATACCCATGTCTTGCCCAAGGACACATCGACATGGACTAGCAAAGCCGGGGATCAAACTGCCAAAAAAATGACAGAAGACAATGATATGACGTCAGGAAGAAGAAATTGAATGACAAAGCACCTGTGAGCTATGACCAAAAGTATACCTCTGGGTTCTGTTGGGACACAGTTGGTAGGCTGAAGTAATAGGGCCACGATAATGCTACTGTACTACTGATCATGATTGTATGTAACCAGCAAAACTGAAACTTGCTTTGATTAACCATTAGAAACGGAGGTTTTGTATGGAGTGTGCACCTGTGAGGTTGTACTGTATAATTCCACTGGTTCATAAAAGTTGCGGACGCCAGGGGGCATCTTTTAGAATGCCCTCCAGAAAAGATGCTCCTTTGAGAGTTTTTTTTAAATAAAAAAAATGAGTGTGTGTGGTTTGCACACACAGAGACTTGGAAAGGAAAACCCAGAACGGGGCACATAAAACACTATTTATATATATTTACAGACACCACAGTCTTTTCGCACTGGCACTTTCTTGAAAACCTTTTCACCAACTCAATGCCGGTCATCTTATTCCGCAAGCAGATGTCTGCCTCCCTCTTCCATGAGCAGGGAATGAAATGTGGTTCCTGCTCGGCTGCTTCTCAGAAAACAGTCAGCAGAGGTCGTCCTTTGTCACAGCGTCTATCCCAGCGCAAAAAAATCGACTATAGTCCCATCAACCATTGAATTGACCATCATTTACAGCTACTTATTTACATGTACCTGCATGTCCAGTCCTTTCTGTGTTCATGCATTTACTGATATGCCTCCATTGTGAGTTCTCTTTTCTTTTTGACAGGGACAAAGAGAAAGTGAGTGGTGGTTACATTGTAGTTGATCCAGTGCTGAGGGTGGGAGTCAACAATGACATCCTACCACTGGACTGCATCAGCAGCCAAACATACTTGGCCAAATGCCTTGGCCCACTGGACAAATGGCTTGACAGACTTAGGGTCGCAAAGGAGACAGGTAAATGGGCCAACATGACAAACTGATGATATGGTATTCAGAAAATTGCTCTGTTGAAAATTGCTCTGTTGTTTTACACATTAACAATAAAGATTGGGTTTTATGTCGTTTACAAATGTAGTTTTTATAGTACTTGCTTTAAAGTGATAATTTGTTGTAACAGATCAGTTTGCACTAAATATTATTAATCATATGACACAAACTAGCAACCAAAATGACTTTATTACCTGTTTTATCCAGCAGAGTGACGAGAGGCTGGTACATACGTATATAGTCACTGGGATAAGCTCCAGCCCACTGTGACCCTGCCTAATGGGTCATTGCTGTGATACTGGTCATCATGGTACAGAACTATGTCTAACGTAAAAGGCCATGATGAATCCACATAGAATTATCACCAACAACAAGCTCTGTGGAGCTTCTTGGTGTCATTGTTAGCTCATTGTTGTGATTGTCTGGCCTGCAACTTTACTGAACATTTTTAAAGCAATCCTTCCCTAACTACACTGGTAGCAGTAAGTAGTCTGAAGATGGAGGTCTGTGGTATGGATCTGTTCATTGACACAAAGTTTTGCTAATTCAATGACAAAGTACAGTTTATACCCCAGAACCATGTAACTCTAAGCTCTACTCTGTAGGCTACAACATGATCCACTTCACACCGCTGCAGAAGCTTGGTGTGTCTGGCTTCTGCTACTCCATAGCCGATCAGCTGAAGTTAAACCCTGACTTCTTACCTGAGGGGCAGCACTACACATGGGGAGACATTGGTGCTTTGGTGGAGATGCTGAGGAAAGACTGGAACATGGTCTGCATCACGGATGTGGTCTATAATCTCACAGGTAAACTCAAAGATACTGAATGACAGCTGTGTTATTTGTAGTCGTTTTGTGTCCCTTTCATCCTGGATATTTGGGGGGGCTTTTACATGTCTGTGTCCAGAGGCCCATAGTTTCATAATCCGTACATACAGTATATTTGATTCATGATAATATTTTGAACGAGCAGCAGTTAACAGTTAAGTCTTTAAAAACTTGTAACCACACATTTTCCCAGAGTACCATACTGTACATACCTTATTAGTCCCACCTTAGGTACTGGCTAGACTTACTCAGGCATAATGTTTAAAAAGCTGTGTGGAGAATTGGATGAGTTTATTGGGGCTGATGCGGATATTTACACAATTTATGAAGCAGAGTAATTTAACAGCTGACATTCAAAGGCCTTCTTCAGATTAAAACACTTACTAAACCACACTGCCCTTATCCAACTTTGATTTACATGTAGTCCAGGTCCACAGACAATCCACAAAAGCACTTTTCTGTCTCAGTCGAACAATTACTCCTGAACTCAAATTGTAGAAGAACTTTGTGCTGATTCTGATTTAGATAATCAGTTAGTTGGTCAGTTACCCATCTCTCAGCAATTTTAGAGGTCACAGGAAGTATGCTATTTTTTACAACCTTAGGCCAACTGATTTTAATATTGGAGCAATGTGATCATGTTTTGTAATATTTGTCTGTGTTTGCAGTTTGTAAAGAAATATTGCAAGGATTCAACACACTATTGTGTGGTACAATATGATATAAGGGGACTGTTGTATTCTTCTGTGCTATATCCAATTTCCATCTGCTGCTACAGTGACTCAGTATGCTGAGTGAAAAGTTATCTTCTTATTTGTAACAAGGAAAGTGACAGTGCTATGTTGCAAGTATACCACAGTTGGCCTTTCCAGCAGGCAGCTGTGGCTGTTGTATCACCTTCTCAGTTTCCTCATTGACATTTTGTCACTATTTATGTTGAAGGTCATATACATAGATAGACCGGTAAGGGCAACAGTGTGCACTTTGCCAGGACTTCAGATAGAACACCTTCCTTCTCTCACACATGGTGTGTTGATTTTGAGAATCTTATTAATTTACTTTGACTTCTGCTTTGAATGTCAAGCAAAGCTTTAAATGAAAATTAGTTGGTATTCAACATGGCATTTTCTTCACTACTTTGTGTCATTAGCTTAACTAAGTCAAGTCAATTTTATTTATATAGCCCAATATCACAAATTTGTCTCGAGTAGATATACAATCTGTACAGCATACAACACTGTCTGCCCTTAGACACCCCAAAAATGGAAGAAAACTCAGGAAGAGCGTGCATTAGATTTGTGTACAGAATAGACCAACAAGTTAAAAAACGTGTAGTCAATCAGGGGGACAAATTTATAGATAGGAATCATATGTGAAGAATGGATCCAGGAAGATGACAAACAACTTCCAGGTGGGTGGACAAAGTCTGCAGACTGGACACTGCAGACTTTTTAGGTACAGGGACGATGGTGGCTTGCACAATGAAATTTAGTTTGTTGTCCTAATATGCTAAATAGAAAAGAAAACAAACACCAAAAAACTATTGTATATGATGGGTGGATGATGAATTTAGGAGTCTCACCGCCAGAGGAAAGAAGCCGTTTTGAAGTCCGTTGGTTGGTGAAGCTGATACTTCAGTATCTCTTTCCAGAAGGCAGCACAGTGAACAGGTTGTGGCTGGGTGGGTTTTGTCCTTTAGCTCTTTGCAGGCTCCTCTTCTCACGAATATCACTGATGCTCAGGAGATGGTACCAATGATGTTCTGGGTTGTTTTAATCACCCGCTGTAGAGCCCTCCTGTCCTGGGCCATGGACACCCCATGCCAGTTTGTAATGTTTGTAGTCACCCTCTGCAAAAATGTATAAGAACTTGGCATGGGAATTTTGCCTTTGTGAGTTTCCCTAAGAAATATAGCCGTTAATGAGCTTTCTTCGCCAGGATGGAGATGTGTAAGGACCACATCAGGTCGTTTGTGATGCTGATTCCCACGAACTTAAGGTGCCAACTTGCTCCACCTCAGCTCCTTTGATGTAGACAGTGGTATTACTGATGTTGAGCAGTAGGTTGGTCTCTGAGCACCACTCCCCAAGATTGTTGATTTCCTTTCTCTATGAAGTCTCATTGTTGTTCGTAATCCGACCAATGACGGTAGAGTCATCTGTAAACCTCATAACAGAGTTGTCCTGGAGGGCTCCGGTGTTCAACACTAGAGTGGAGGAGGAACTGGGGTCTATTTGTGAGGAAGTCTAATAACCAGTTGCAGAGTGAGGTACTCAAGCCCAGAGTGCTAAGTTTTCCAATCAGTTTCATGGGGGAGATTGTGTTGAAGGCTGAGCTGAAATCAGCAAACTACAGTCTGATGTAGGTGTTATTTTCCAGATGAGTGAGGGCTGAGTGGAGAGCAGTGGAGACTCCATCCTGTGGATATGTTGGCTCTGTATGCAAACTGGTGAGGGTCCAGGCTGGCTGGGATGTTGTTTTTCATGAGCTGGTTTCTCAAAGCACTTCATCAGAACGGGGGTAGTCACAGGGTGGTAACCATTTAGACTGGACACTGTAGACGTTTTAGGTACAGGAATGATGGTGGTTGTCTTGAAGCTGGTGGGAACTCTCTCCTGTGACAGTAATATGTTGAAAATATCAGTGATGACACCAGCTGGTTGGTACATGTTCTTAGTACACTACCAGGATGCTATCAGGCCCAGCAGCTGTACTCATATTCATCCTCATCAGGGTTTTCCTCACATCCTCTGTGGATACTAACAGTGTGGAGGTGGAGCAGACTTGACAGCTGACTCTTTGTTGAGGAGATCGAAGTGAGCATGAAAGGAGTTCAACTCATTTGGCTACGTGGCCTCACACATGATGGGGGCTGTCCTGCTTTTATATCCTGTCACATTTTGGATTACCATCCCCCATCCCCACCACACACAAAGAAGATTTGAAGATTGAAAAATGGAAATACCAATAAATTACCATCAGACACTAAGCATAAAAGTCTTGGGGCAAGAAACCAAAATATACACAAACAACACCACAAAGCAAATTAACCTAAACAAATAATGTGAACAAAGCAAAGTATCCTAAAAAAGCAGCAGTGGAAACATAATCTACGAAGGATCAAAAATAAATGCCCGTCATGTCGAAGAGATAGAACTGACAAAGCCACGACTACAACGCCTACATATGTCTTCGACACTCACCCCAACGAACACTGATATGCTGCATTTAGAGTGTGTGCGTACTACACTGGGAGGTTCTCTTCCTGCCTGCTATGCTAGGCAGATGCCCTGACAAAGCCTTTCAGTGTGTCCGATGGGGGTAGTCCTGCTGCGTTCACCACAAAGCAGCAAGCAACTGGAATGCACCGACAGGGGGGTTAGTTCCCACACTCTCTTAGCTGAGGTCAGTGCAGCAAGCTGTCTTGAACAACAATGCCTTTCGAGAAAAGTGCTGCAGAATGTCAAGGGGAACCTTCACCAAAGCCTCAAGCACAAACAGTCCTCTCTGCAGGTAGGAGGCATGCATCACTGAGATCTGTCTCTTGATCCCATGCAAGAACCGCTTCATGAGAGGCTGATCAAATACCAATCCGTAGCGAAAACCATTGTGGCAGGAAGAAATCACTGTTTCATACACTTAAACAGTGGCATGAGAAAGCCCTCTATATACCAAACACTGCAAAAAGCAGACAATAACCAACTGCACAGGAAAAGGGATCTAGCCTCCTTTCGTAGCACCAACGTTGGAACCCTGACACCTTTACCTTGTAGCTAACAAGTAATGACGGATCCTGCTCTTGCTACCTTGATGGTCTGCACCAACTGTACAGACAGTTCAGCCCCCCTCAGCCTGTCCCTCTCAGGAGTTGAGCATGAAAAGGATGGCCCAGATTGGGCAACAAGCCCATCCATCTCCTGAGACGGAGCCCCCAGAAATTGGTGATGGTCCAGGGCTGGAATGCCATTATCAGAGTAATTTCTGCATACCATGCCGCCGCGGCGGCGTGAGGTTACCAGAATGACCAACAACTGCTCCCACCTCACTCTCTCCAACAAGGGAGGGATGAGATGAAGTGGCGGAAAGGCATCAAGCAGCTTTCTTGGCCTTGGTGCAAAGGTGTTCTCCCCCACTGATGGATTGCCCCTCTGTGCTGGGGAGGACCATAGCAGGCATCTGTTGGCAAACAGATACACTTCTGCTTCCTTTAGGTTTGTGGTTTGATGTTGGGGCGACTGTGGCTAAGTGGGGGGTGATTGTGGCTAAGTGAAGAGCAGTCAAAAGACTGGAAGTTCGATTCCCGGCTCCGCTAGTCCATGTCGATGTGTCCTTGAGCATGACACTTAACCCCAAAATTGCTCCCGTAGCTGTGCCAATGGTGTATGAATGTGGATAGTCTGTTAGGCAGGTGGCACCTAGCTCCTGCCATCAGTGTGTGAATGGGTAAATGATGACAAGTAGTGTTAAAGAGCTTTGAGTAGTCGGAAAGGCTAGAAAAGAGATATACAAGTACAGTCCATTTACCATGTTAGGAAATACTATTATTTTTAGTTTGTTGACTGAAGCTGTATTTTACTACAACAACACAGACCTTGTCCTCTATGTTGTTAAACAATGGGTTGACATAATCGCCATTCAGAGCAATATTTGCGAATAATCTGCAACAAGTAGTAGAGCTCTATGCTTGAGAAACTATGTGATGACACCATTACAGAATTATTTTATTGAACAGACACTAGGGAAAGAGCTCTGACCATTCAGCTGAATTATTTTAACAATGAGTCAATATTTCAGCAGAGTATATATATATATATATATATATATATATGCTTCTCACAAACTGAATTGCACACCATCTCATCCCATTGTTGAAGAGGCTGCAAGGAGTTGTGGTCAAAAGGTCATTGGTGCCTGTCAGGGCAGCAACCTTAGAACTTGCTGGTAGAAACCAGCAGTGACGGCGGCTGTCAAGCTGAAGAAGGAGGCCTTTTGGGCTCGTCTGGCCCAGGGGTCTCTGGAAACACCAGACAGCTACCGGTTGGCCAAAAGAGCTACAGAGGTGGCCAAAGCACAAACCCAGGTGTGGGAGGAGTTAGGGGAGAGTATGGAGAAGGACTTTGGATTGGCCTCAAGGAAGTTCTGGCAAAGTGTTTAACTACTCCAAAAATGAAAGCAGGGCTTGGATCAGGCTGTGTTCAGCTTCACAAATAATACAAAACAACCAGAAACACAGACAAAATCAAACTACAGAGCAAGTTCATAGAAATTTGTTTTTAGTAGTGATTTAAAATAAATCGAGGTTGCAAGACGAATTTCAACAGGGTTTTGAGTTCCAGAGTTTTGGGCCCAGCTAAAGCACAGTCTCCTTTACTGTTAGATCTAGTGTAGATTGGGGGACTATTAGTACAGTTTTCTGTTACGATATACAGTAAGATTGCTTGCAGTTACTGTATATAGGGGCATAGAAGTTCACAGATGTATGGTGGGGCTAGACCTAGGCTAAAACTGGGGTTTATCTGATCTCTTTTGTTTGATCCAGTAAACAGTTTGGCTGCAGAATGTTTTAAAACTTGAAGGCATGGAAATGCTTTATTGTTTCAGCAGGTAAATCACAATAGTCAACTTTTGAGAAAATAAACACATGAACAACTTTCTCTAAGCCAGAGAATGATAAAAACAGGACTGAATTACCTTCTTGATATGATGATCAAAAGTTAAATCGGAATCAAAGATGACAGCATTAGGCTTTACAGAACGTGCTAGGTTATTATTACAAATAAAGTGTGTTATCAGTGTGTTTATCAAAAAAAGTGTGTTATCATAATTATGCAGACAACACACAAATCTACTGTGATGGTAAATTTCCACTGTGACTTATCTCTCCTGTTTTATTAGCTGACCACTCAGTGTTTTGGCCCTTTGGTATTAACAAAGTTAATACATGTCAGACATGGTCAACGAGGGTCCTCTCAGGTTGAGTAATATTGGATGTGTGTCTTAATCAGGGGCATGATACTGTCAACTTAGATAGGGGCTGAATGGGGATGCAATCAGTGGACCAATCAGTGATTAACCATTCAATGGTTAATCACTGAATGATCACTGTTGTCCAGATGTCCTAGTAATGAACTCCTCCGCCCCCAACATGTGCTCAAGGCCTTTATAAGTCGTACACAACCAACACTCTAGGTGCCTTCCTCCTTCAGAATAAAGACTCTAAGGACAAACTTCTTTTTTCAATGTTTCTTAATTTCAGTATCATAGGACTCACTCGGTACTATTGAATAGTTTTTTCCACCACAATCTACATAACTATATCACCAGGGGACTATAATCCCGTACAAGGGCTGGGTAAATGCATTGAACAAATCAGCAACTGGATGTGCCAGAATTTTCTTCAATTAAAACAGAAGTAATTGTTTTTGGTACCAAAAACGAACGATTGAAAGTCAGCGCTCAGCTTCAATCACTGATCTTAAATACCACAAACCAAGCCAGAAATCTAGGTGTTGTTATGGATTCAGACCTCAACCTGAACAGCCATATCAAGACAATTACAAAATCGAGTCCTCACTAAGACCAAGAAAGTGGATCACATCACTCCAGTTCTGAGGTCTTTACACTGGCTTCCTGTCCAACAAAGAATTGACTTTAAAATCTTGCTGTTGGTTTATAAAGCACTGAATGGTTTAGGGCCAAAACACATCTCTGATCTGCTGCTACCTTATGAACCATCCCGAAGCCTTAGGTCGTCTGGGACCGGTGTACTTTCTGTTCCCGGAGTCAGAACTAAACATGGAGAAGCAGCGTTCAGTTTTTCTGCTCCACATATCTGGAACAAAGTCCCAGAAAGCTGCAGGTCTGCTGAGACCCTCAGCTCCTTTAAATCAAGATTGAAGACTTTTCTGTTTGCTGCTGCCTTTAATTGAACCAGATTCGAGGATATTAATCAATTTCCTGCATTTCTGCATTTTACTACTACATTTTATTTCTTACACTGCTTTTTAGTGTTTTAATGACTGTTTTTAATGTTCCAATGAATGTTCTTAATTGTTTTTGCCTTATGTTTGATGCTTTAAATGGTTTTATGTGAAGCACTTTGAATTGCCTTGTTGTTGAAATGTACTATATAAATAAACTTGCCTTGCCTATATTGTTTTTTCGATCACTCTCTGGCACAAGAATTTCCTTTGGATTTATGAAGTTCTATTTCATCTTATCTTATTGGATTAAGCCAACAAGTTGCATAAATGATTAAAGTCTAAGGCAAGTCATTTGCACAACAAACGGGAACATCAAAATCAGCCCTAATAATTTTCTCATATCGAGACATCATAAATAATAAGAGCTCTGAGAAGTCGGAGATAAAGTATGGTTTGTGTTGAGGAGGCCTTACAATAAGCCAAAGAACAAGGACTAGTTGTATAGTCAGTGCAAGGCTAGAAATTCAAGCTAATAATGATAATTCTGTACATTCTCTTTGTTTTTCTTCTCTTATGTCGTCTTCTCTCTATTTCTCTTCACTTCTTCACCACCTTCCATTGTCTCTAGCGGTTGGCAGTGAGTGGATTCACCTCCATCCTGAGTGTGGTTACAACTTGGTTAACTCTCCTTATCTGAAACCAGCTTGGCTCCTTGACAGAGCTCTGTGGCACCTCAGCTGTGAGGTGGCTGAAGGAAAATATGCTGAACGAGGAGTACCAGCACTCTTTCAAGATGAACGGAACATGAATGTGAGTCATATTCCTTTATTGTGGGTACTTGTGTTAAAGTTAGGATCAAGTTATAACCTCATGTTCTTTAAAAAAAACATGAATTAATATATAACTGATTTGCAACAGCAAACATGTTGTGGAAGAAACATATTGGTGTATGTTGATTAGGAAGTGTTTTGATTTCACATATGTCAATATTGAATATAACAGTAAAATGTTCAGTGAGAGTAAAATGTATTAATTTGTTTTCTGCCCTCAACACTGCCCTGGAGCAAAATGCAAAGTGACAAAGTAAACAAGTGGTTGGTGATCAAACTTCAACATCTAGCAGCTAAAGATGCTGGTCTTTAACTTCATCCACTCCATGGCATAAGAGGGTTTATTTTCTCTTCTAATCGACATGGACCCATATCATATCAAGCTCATGCAGAACCTTACTGTACGTGATTTTTATCTTCTCTGGTGTTACAAGAGCTTGATGGTCACTTATTGGGGGTGACTGTGGCTCAGAAGATAGAACAGGTCCTCAATCAGAAGATCGGTGGTTCGATCCCCGGCTCCTCTAGTCCATGTCGATGTGTCCTTGGGCAAGACACTTAACCCCAAATTGATCCCATGTGCCATGTGTGTGTGAATGTTAGTCCAGTTGGCACCTTGCATCCACATCTTTTATACATTACCGATGTTATTCAACCTTCAAATTGCAAACACTTTTAAACATATTCAACCTTCTCTGAAGCTTGTCAAAAATGTCCTCTGATTTTTACATTATGTGTATTGCATGTAATGTTCAGAGCTAGACTGGATGACATCACAGCTAAGACTGGCAAGGAACTTGAAAATCTTCTGAAAAAACTTAAACTTGCTCCCCTTCCCACAATTTTCAAGAGAAAATGTGTGCTCATTTATACAATGTCGCTGTGGAAGCAAACTAACTTAAATTTGGCCATGAAACAATCTGAAAGTGACAGAAACTGCAGGCACTAAGACCTGCTGTTTTTTCTCTGGGAAGCAGGGGTATGACAGGCGCACCTCAGCTTATATGCAATGAATTGTCTGACTAAGGAGAGTTTAACAGTGATCATCACCATGGCACGCTTTGACACACCAGATTGAGATTAGTGATTATCCATTAGTGCAGTACTGGGTACAGCTTTGTTTACCCTCCATTGACATGTCGAAATTGGCTTTCTATCCATGTCAGATCAGCATTTAAATTGTAAATGGACACACCCCTTCCAACCTGCCTGATCTTCTTAAACCTTAGCCTCCAATCAGGACTCTCTGCTCTCAGAATTCAGCTCCTGTCTGTCCCCGGAGTGAAAAAGAAGTCAGCAGGCCAAAGGGCCTTTTCCCGTCATATCCCCTTCTTTTAACATAACCTCTCTACAGACATCAGACAGTCTTATTCTGAATCTTTATTTTCAGGTTTTTTTATATACTTTTTCTATTTTAGTTTACTAATTTTACTAATATATCTTACTCTTATTGCTATTCTATTTTGCACTGGTCTCAGTATTACTTCTTATACAATAAATATGTATTAATATTTTATATTTGTACTCATTTTTTTTCTATCAATCTCTGCCACAAGAATTTCCATCCGGATTAATAAAGTTCCTATCCTATCTTATTTTATAGGATTAAGGCCAACAGATCATTTGCACAACAAACGTGAACATTAAAATCATCCATAATAACAACTTTCTCATTTCTAAACATCATAAATGTCACCTGTTAAGAATAAAAGCCACATAGAGTAACTGTATCTTAACAGGACACTCAGGATAAGGCTATTTTTTTTAACTAAAAGCCCTCAACTCTCACTGTATATTAATTGGAAACAAGGGATGGACCTATTTTTTCAAAATAAAAGTGCTTTTAGTTCCACTCTTGTTAGAGCTTAGCCCCTAGTCCCATGTTTTATCCTTATTTCACCAAATACAATTACAGCAAACCACAACTCCGTTTCAGTGCAGCTAAGCGTATTTAAGTCCTTGCTCTAAAATTCAAATTTTAACTTATTTAATTCCTTTTCATTTTTCATCACTTTCCCACTTTTCCAACTATTCATACTGCTTCAACTGATTTTTCAACTCTCTTCTCCTGATTCAAACTCTATTTAAGCCTTAAAATGTGTTTTTTATACATCGGCATAGGCTTTTTTTAAATATTCAACCCAGCTGATTGAGATTTCCTAATTTGACCCACCCATTTCTCACTTCCCACTTTTCTAAGTCCTTCGTAGTCCTTCACTGCTTCTTCACACAGGTTAAAGCCATTATTTGTATTATTCAACTTTTAAAATTAGCAATGCAGTGTCACATTAGCTCTATGTCCTACTGCACAAATTTGAAAATCTGCCATATGAAGAACAATTTCGCAAATTATGTCAAATTGTAAAATTTTGTAATTTTCTGGTTTAGTTAATATATATATATAATAATATATAAGTGTAGATGTTATCATTTTTGCTAAGTGTTACACCTAACCAATGTTACATGTTGCTTACATCATAAACATGCTGCCAATGTTCAGTCCCTCAGTGGAAAAGCTAAGCAAGCTATAGGATTCAGTTGCTGGGATATAAACCAAACTCCCAGAAAGTGAAATGGCCTAAAAATGTAATTATGTAGGCTACAGCAAAAGCCCATTAAGCCAGTCACATAAACAAGCCACCAAAATACATACACATACAGGGAAAACAGTCTGGCAGCATTTACTGTTTGTCCCTGTTGCAGCAGGCCACAAGCTAATATGCTATTATTGTGAGCAGCACAAAGAAAAACTAATGCTGATTATATCTGGTTCGTGTGAAGACACAACTTTGTTCAACTTGCTTTGTGGCAGAAAGCCCTGAAGGCAAACTTTTCCCATGTGAGTCTACCGGCCTGATTTCATAAAATATCAATATTAATTTCATATACATTACATGTGGTGTTGTACAAGGTTCAATTTTAGTTCCAGTTTTATTTTTCATATATATGCTCCCACTTAAAATCATCCAATGTCACATTTTTTTTCATGGCTGTGCAGATGACACACAAATATACCTTCCCCTGAGACCTGATGACCCGATGCCCCAAGAAGCCTTGCTGCTGTTTTAGACTTTTTTTAAATTTTAGATCTTAGTGATATCAACTGCTGCATGGCACAACAATTTCTTTAACTCAAATTCATAAATCAGTCCCCCAAACCTTATGCACTTGTACACACACATTAATTGTTACTGGTATGTCAATTTCATCAGTGAAGGTAGTAAGCCTTACTGTACTATTTGGTTGCCCATGCAAAAACATATCCTTGCATCAAGGAGGTTAAATGGTGCTTGCAGTTGCATTCCTACACAAGCTATTTATGTTGGCTAATCAACTACAAGCACATATATAAGAAACACAAGCTCGTTCTAATGAAAAACGGCAGCTAGCTAGGTGGCAATTTCAAAGATCATAGAAAACAACATTGCTGGGTTTCTAATAGCCCATATACGGGTTTCTAGTACACGTGATTTGCATATTGTGTAAAATGAAAAAAGACAGAAAGAAATGTCCCCTATAAAATAAATGACACTGTAGCCCTACCCCTGATAGTGTTTGATACTTAAATTAGGACCCATGGCAAACATTTAATCTCTATTTTATTTCATATAATCAAACTGCATAGTCTGCAGTTAGGTTCTTTTGAGTGGGGTCCCCCAGGACCCAGTTACATTGGTATTTTTGTTATTAGTGGCTCAGTGGTGAGAGCCGGTTGTTCTTTAATTACAGAGCCAGCGGTTTGATCTCCGGCTTCTTCCGTCCGCATGTCGAAGTGTCCTTGAGCGAGACACTGAGCACCAAGTTGCAGCCAACTATTCCTAATGCTAAGGATGGGATAAATGTTGAGGTCAAATTTGATGTGTGTGACGTTTAGAATAACCTATCTTTTTCAATTACATTTTTTAAAAATTACTATTTAAAAAAAACTTTTAAAACGGAAACAGAAAAAAATGATATGGAGTCATTACAAACAAATTGATTCACAAAGTTGTGAAAAATTGGAATGATAAAATAAAGTATTTTTGGGATATGACAAAAAGTATACCTCTGGGGTCTGGGGGTTGAGTTGCAGTATGAGGGGTTAAAGGCCTTGTTTATAGTTAATTTGGAGTAAGTATGACCCTCATATGATTCACTCTTATACCTACTCAGTGTGAAACACTGTAAGAAATGGAAGACAAAATCCACAGTCCTCGCTCTATGAAGAAAATGATCAGCTGAAGCTAAAATGAGCCTCAAGCAGTCTGAGTTGCATTTGGTAGTCGTCTGTAGGCTTACTGCAGGTGTTTTGTTCCAACTATAAACCTACATGTGAAGACCAGGATGTATCCCTATGCCACAGCTCAGCAAGAAACAGTGACATTAAGAGGGGATGTCATTTAAAAAAGACACAATGTTTATTTTATGCAAAGTGCAAGTAAAATATTATTGATTCACTGTACAGTGCAGGCCTATTCCCCTGTCTTGAGAATATGATGTGACTTTTTTCTTGTGTGTGTGTGTGTGTGTGTGTGTGTCTGTGTGTGTCAGGCTCTGCGGGGAATCCTGTGGCAGCAGGTGTTCTCCAGGCTAAGGCTGTGGGAGTTCCTGCAGGTCAATGTGGATGAAGCTGTGGAGCAGTTCAGACAGCTGCTAAAGACTGGTGAGATCAATGATGAGGGAACACAGTTCAGTCACACAACCTGTCCATGCACATAGTATTCTTACACATCAGAGAAAATATTTCAAAGTCTACCTAGTGGGCCTTGGGCCTCTCTTCTTACCAGGGGCGTTTCTAGGATTCAAAGAAAGGGGGGGCTTAGCCCCAAGGGGTGTGGCATGTTTGCTTTGTGGCAATTGTTTTTGGGGCCCATTTGGGGCTGTGGATATCCATTGCTTCAGACAGTTCATAGATTGGTTCAATCAGAAAGAGTGTGATTTTGCTCTGTAGTTTTGCTTGCATTCAGTATATGATAACACAAGAGACAGAATTTGAGGGTCATAGTGAAATTTGACAACACAAATATGAACTTTTCTCAAATAAAGAGAGAAATAATTTTCCTGCTTGTAAAGGAAAGACAGATAAACTAGCTTTCATATCTGCGTCACTCCCAAATCCTAATTCTTTAAGGGACCGCACACAATGGATGGAGAATGGACCTGACAGTGTCAACTTTATATCGTTAGGTATGATGATAGGCTATTGGATTGTAATTTGAAGGGGGAGAAAACATACAAACCAGAACGCACGCACATATGTAGCATGTTAGAGTTATAAATAACTTGTCCATGTGGGAAACAATAGTTTCATTTAATGACATCACCAAAAAAAAAAAAAAAAAAATTTTTTAAATCCAATAATGCCAAATTATTTGGGGGGGCTGAAGAACATTTTAGGAAATTATAATACATGTAGTGTATTTATGAAAAATTATTACATTACAAAATAGCTATAACTTTGAGATTCTGTTTAGGCCAGCAGAGAAGGGTTTGCTGGCCCTGACGGCCCACCACTGCTTCCTGGTGTGCTGCAACAACATTTAATGGCCCTACTGACATGGTTGTCACCTTAACAACTGATAACAATTTATTTTGAACTAGTCAACTGACCATGGGATTCAGTTCATTCTATTCCTATTCTGTTTATATGGTATGGACCTTCTTTTATCCAGGTAGTTTAGGTGTCAGTTCCACATCCACGTCCAGTCCAGAGTGTAAGAAGCAGCTAAAGATGGCACAGGACCCTTGGCACAGACGATTTGGAAACACAGTGGACATGAACTCTGCCATGGATATTTTCACACCTCACAGGTGACTCTTCTCTATGGCTTTAACATACTGGACATTACTTCTCATGGGACCGGGACAGAATGGTTGGATCCTGGGATCATGATATTACAGTAATATAACAAGATCAACTTTTCAGTTGCAGATTCTGTGTGGTGAAATATGATTTTTTTTTAGAATTTGTATTAACGAAGTCAAGTGCAAAGTCCAAACAAAATCTCTGCATGTTATTACCGTACACAAGAGGTCTAATCACCCCTCCATATCCAAACCAGAATTAGATGGCATCAAGTACAGAAGATCGCACTATTGTAATATTTAAGACTGAAACTCAAACACTGAAACAACATGTCAAAATGGCTGCATGCAACAGATTTTCCTTCCCTGCCATTGCAGCAGTAAAAACCTCAGGTCAGTTCTATTAAGTTGGTCAGACACTCCCATACAACCACTAAAGAGGATATCAGACAACAACTCGAGAGAATCACAACAGATAATTTGATTAAATACCAATTGTCCGAAGTTAAAATCCAACCTTATTTCTGGCATGAATCCTGGATCTGTGGTGCGTGCAGATGTGACAGCATCTGGATTGTAGCTTCAACAGACTTCGCTACTAAAATACACTCGTCATCGAAAAAGAAAATACGAGGATTGGATTAAATGCAGCGGAACTTGAGATGATTCGCCCACAAAATCTTCAGACCACTCGGCCAGACCAGCCGAACCGAATGTTTCCCTGACAACATTTCAAAGATGCCAAGAGCATTCACCATTTTTTTTGTTGATGCTGTCTACATTCCTCTTGACCCGATAGTATTTTTAATAAAGCTGGTGATTTTAATCAAACAAATCTCAGATCTGTTTTACTTAACTTCCTCCAGCATTTCCACATTTCTACCAGAGGAAACAATACACTGGACCATTGTGGTGGAAAAAAGTCCTATACCCGCTTTGCGTGAGTCTTTTAATGCTGAAATACATAATACCAAAAACCAGGTTGTCTTTTAAGTATTTATTCTCTGCACAGAGAAGGTTCAATCATCACAACAGAATGCGTACACTCTCAGTGAGGAAGAACCTCGAAAAAAATGAACAAGCTTTCTTTATACAGAATGAGCAAAGGTGGGGGCCGATGGCCAATGTGACAGACATTTCAGTCTCAGACTTTTGGTCTGAGACTGATAGGAACAACATTGAAAAACAAATGGTCAGCAACCAAAGCAAGCGGCCCAAAGGCCTTGGTGGTGGAACATTCTCATACAACACAGTTAGATATCTTTGTGAACAGGCAAGGGAGAACTCTTCCTCTGCACAACAGAGACACGGTGAAGTTCAACAAACTTCAGAGCAAAATGACTTATGTATGAATACAATATACTGAGTAGAAATATATACTAAGTAAGTAGAACAAAGTAGAACATTTTTTAAGTAGTATATATTTTTTAAGTAGTAGTAGTAAGTACAACATTTTTTATGTAGTATATACTACTTACTAAGTAAGTAGTATATATGTACTACATAAAAATGACCATTACACCATGTTTACACAAATATTCCTGGGAGCTACAAAGAGCCTTCTCCCGCCCCCTTTTTGGAAAATCAGACCATATTTTCTTGCTCCTTCTGTCTACATATGCCCAGCTAATCATACGGGCTAAACCTACAGAAAAAAACATTTAAAGTGTGGAAAGATAAAGCTACAGCTGCTCTTCAGGACTGCTTTGAATGTACAGACTGGCACATGTTGAGGGATGTTGACATCCAGGAGAACAGCAACAATCATGAGGAATATACATCAACAGGGACCCAACAAATATGTTGATGATATGGTGATCACAAATGCAATAAAATTCCCCAACCATAAAGTCTGGATGAATGGAAAGGCGGGGGCACTATCCAAAAACAAAACAGCTGCCTTTGGGTCAAGTGACAAGGAAGCATACAGCATCGCCAGAGCAAGACTGAAAGCTGGAATCAAGAAGGCAAAGCAGAGGCATCAAGAGAGACTGGTGAGGGACCTCAACACCAACAACAAGATATGAGGCAGAAGATCCAAAATGTGACAGGATATAAAAGCAGGAGAGCCCCCATCATGTGTGAGGCCACGTAGCCAAATGAGTTGAACTTGTTTAATGCTCACTTCGATCTCCTCAACAAAGAGTCAGCTGTCAAGTCTGCTCCACCTCCACAGGACCGCCCACTGTTAGTATCCACAGAGGATGTGAGGAAAACCCTGATGAGGGTGAATATGAGTAAAGCTGCTGGGCCTGATAACATCCTGGTAGTGTACTAAGAACATGTACCAACCAGCTAACTGATGTCATCACTGATATTTTCAACATATCACTGTCACAGGAGAGAGTTCCCACCAGCTTCAAGACCGCCACCGTCCTTCCTGTACCTAAAAAGTCTGCAGTGTCCAGTCTAAATGGCTACCACCCTGTGACTACCCCCGTTCTGATGAAGTGCTTTGAGAAACCAGCAGATCAAAAACAACATCCCAGCCAGCCTGGACCCTCACCAGTTTGCATACAGAGCCAACAGATCCACAGAGGATGGAGTCTCCACTGCTCTCCACTCAGCCCTCACTCATCTGGAAAATAACACCTACATCAGACTGTAGTTTGCTGATTTCAGCTCAGCCTTCAACACAATCTCCCCCATGAAAGTGATTGGAAAACTTAGCACTCTGGGCTTGAGTACCTCACTCTTATCTGCTTATTAGACTTCCTCACAAACAGATTCGGATTGACATTAGGTTCACAACAATATAACGAAACGTAATGTTTCATGTTATAACAATGTCAGTCTGCCAAGAGTTGATGATGTGACTGAATTTCTTTCCCCCTCTCTCTGGTATAATAATTAGCCCATCAGACGTCCAGGAGTGTTGTGTCGGTTTCAGAAAGAGACTGGAGGAGCTGAACTTGGAATTGTTCAAAGAGATGAATCAACACGCAGAGAAGGTGTGTGTGTGTGTGTGTGTGTGTGTGTGTGTGTGTGTGATTTGTTCACGATAGCAGATTTCTTTACAGTGCTTGCTGACCTAGTTTCTTTTGGGTCAGACTTTTTGTTGAAACCCCTTTGCTGTCTTATCTCCCCAGGCAACTAACTGCATTCTGGTAAATGTAGTTTATCAGCGTCTTTCAGATCAGGGGCCTAAATTGGGTCCGGTAACAAGGAAGAACCCTCTCTGTAGCAGGTATGCTCTCCAACCCTCTGCTGTGTTCATCTTACCATGTGTAGGATTTGAAAATCTCACAATCTTAATTATTTCACTATCTTGAGATAAAAAAAATTGTACTGACCTGATATTGGTTGTTAAATTAACTAAGGAAATATAATACATGTGGGAATCTCCCTAAATACTCCTTAAGTAATTCTAAGAGAGACTGATGACATTGTTGCTATTGGGTGTAATAATATGTGGTTGTATAATGTGTTTTTATCTACATGTTATAACCCCAGAGATACTGTACTTCCTCCAGGTATTTCATCTTCCCCTTTGAAGACATTACCTTTGATGAAGAACTGCAGCTTGTGGAGCAGAGTGAGAAGGCGTGCCAATTCTTGGCCCATGATGGTTTTGTGAAAGGAAATGACCTGCTCAGGAACTTTGCTGAACCAGGTAAAAAAACGTGTCAGTGGCAACTGTGACTAAGGATTTACCCTACCCTCTTCCCTTATTTATGTATTTGTAGAAAGAGAAATACATTATTAACATTACATTATTTGTAGTTATTACAATTGGTAGTAGCAGGTTCATTGCATTTAGAGTTTGTACTAGGACATTTTTGCATGTTTTATTGTTTAAAAATACTCATACTTCTCATACTGTCTATCTGAATATTCACCTCCATAAGTCCTCTGTTTTAGCTTGTTTCAACTGAATTGCGTTGCTAGGCCAAAGCTTGGATCCATGTTTACTTCCTGTCGCTGATGTCATTCACATACACTGCAACCAAGGGAAAATTAACTGGGACACATTTAGAATGTTAAGGTTTTAAAACTGTTAATTGATATTGTAAAGTTGGGATATCACAACTGCACATAAATCGTTTAAATGCATAGTTCTAACTCACACAGGCTCCTCACTCTACTGAACGCTACGGGTAATAATCTCCTTCAATCAAGAGCATGCGTTATCCCACTGAAAAAACGTCAAATTAGGACATGCTTACCCAAATATGTGGGAAGCACAAAGTAAAAAAAGGCACAGCCGGCTGTCAAGTTATCTTTCTTCACCTCAGCTAACTGACTGCCTTTCTCTACGGATGGAGTGTTCAGCAGCCACCAATGGCAGGGCCTTCAAGCTCATGGACAGGAAGGTTGTGTCCCGGTGGATGTGTCGGTCCCATCGCAAATGGTGCGTTCAGACTTGCCTCTTTCTCATGCTGACTTTGTGACCTCTGTGGCAGAATGGCTGGAGATTGCTTTTGTGGTGCAGGCAGTGTGTTGCTGACGCCCATGAGAAACAAAAACTATACTATGATGGAACGGCACGTCATCAGCCGTGAGGACAAGGGGATCTCGCATGGCTGCATAATCCTACGGAGGACCGCATGAAACCTGCTCCCCACTGAAAGGGACCCTACAGGGCCCTGGCTGTGTTGGACTCATCTATCGTATTGGCAGTCCTCTGGACCTTCATGGACCAGAGGACATATTTGGAAATTTGTTTGTTGCATTTAGAATGTTGCATTTAGAATGTTTCTTTCTGGAGGATGGGAGGTATGTAAGCTATTATGTTGAGTTGCTAAGTGAAGGCTCTGAGTTACCTTAAGAGCTCTTCAGAAAGCAGTGTTGCAGTGTATGTTTCTGGGGCTTTTATTGTAAAGGCTTAAACGGAAGGAGAGGAAGAGGAAAAAGGTTCTAGGTACATGTGTGAAAAATAAATAAAGTTGTTGCAATCTTGGTGCAGACTACGGAGCCCCCGTGTTATTATTTTATTACTATTATATTATACTACTATTATACTAGTATAGGCGCAACATAAGTCTCGGCTACAATACAAATGTGATTCAAAAAGGGGTCCTATTCAAACTTTCGGACATGAAACCTGTCTTGCACTTCCATAGATGTCCAAGAGGGTCCCTAGTCAGACGTTTTGAACCTATCTTGCACATCACCAGATATCCACCTCAAACACCCATGGTGACTGTAGCGGGGCTACACTCTACTACAGACTATATCTCTCCTTTGTTCCCAATGGTTTTGCAGCTGGATTTTTTTTGGTAAAGCTGCATCTGCAATGCCCAGTTTGTGATTTGGCATGTTACGTTGAACCCCTGGCCCCCATCACTTTGTATGTAAAACCCTATCCAAGAAATGCTTGAAATGGCTTTGAGAGTGCATTTCCCAAGCCTACAGGCAGGCAGGAAGAGACCCTCCAACTGTTGTCTGTTCACATCCTACATGCAACGTAGCAGTGTCGTTGGCTTTGTTGTAGGGGTGAGTGTTGAGAACGTGTATGGCGATGTCATGGTCCACGTCTTGCCTGTTAATACGGTTCTATCTTTTCAACATGTCAGGTCCTTCTTAGGGTCTGTGTTCGCTGGAACGACACAGTACTGGTGAAAGGGGTGTGTGTGTGATAGTTGTATTGCACCTTACCCTCCCTCTGGGCTTGATACACCTATATGTCCCTGTGCTCCTTGATGACCCGAATAATGTGGTGAACAGCGAGTCTGCTGCTTTTCTTTTTAACCCCTGCAGGGTTACGCCATGGCTCTACTCAGTTTAGTTACGTACTCCCTTGGCTGTACCTCCCTGTAACTCCCTTGGCCCCCTACTTCTAAGCTGTGGGTGAACGCATGCCCGTGAGAGGTGGAGAGTATTACCCATAGAGACCAGAAGAGGGCTCTCCCTGTATTTATAGAACTAGGGTAACAATATTGTAAGCTACATTTCTGAATGTGGGCTGTGTGTATTTCTATATGGAATAACTATGGAAGTTCTCTGCTTCTTGTGTTTTTTTTTACTTCCAGTCTTTGTGGTTTTCCCTCCTTTTTTCTGTGTATCACCTGTGTTGTATTAGTCTCGTCTACTTTGCTCTGTGCGCTTTGTTTCTTCTACAAATACAGATTTCAGCTGTGTTTATTTTTTGGATTCATAGCTTGTAAGCATATTTCGTTATTATTAAGTATTTTCTTTGTATATCTGCTTGCCTGGTCTACATTTGGGTCCTTCCCTCTGACAGAACAAACTGCCCAGACAGACTCAGACATTCTTTTTGAGGAGGAACTTCATGACCTGTTTTATTCTCTGGTTTGTATTTATGGGTAGTGAAGGAGATCTGCTGGGTCAGAATATGGAGATATCGCTATGTGTATGACTTAAAGTGAGGTGAGCAAAAAGCCATGGCTGAGGAGTTATTTGCCTGAGTGGCTAAAGGAGTTTTTAGCCCTTCTGCATCCTGTACAAATAAGTTGTTCTCATGTCGTTAGAGGAATAAAATGTCCCCTTCCTAAATTGTCTATAAAATACATATTGTTATTTTTCACTTTCACCAAGTCCTGATCATGAATACCAAATCTCTATTAACTTTCTGAATTTCAACCTTTTAAGGCCAGTTTTTAAGATAATGCCACCGTGTTTTTAAATGAGGCAAAATTATTTAAGAATTCATTCATTTTCTGCATACTCAATGCTAGGTAGATATTTTACTTTTACTTTTTCATAGTCTGAGATCTGTCTGTGATTAGCAGCAATATTGATGCATTTTTATTTAAGGAATGTCACATGTTTACAGTCCCTGTAAAATGTTACCTATTACCCTTCGAAGTTTTTAAACTTCTAATTGTTATAACCCTTCAATATCTTTACTTTTTAAAAGCCTATTACCTTATTTTGTTTGAGAAATAAAGAAAAAAATAGCTTAACATTCATGATATCAACACACACAAACACCATTTTAGTTGCATACATTTGCTAGATTGGCTTCACATATTGTCATGCAATCACATGCACTTGCATGTAGGCACACAAGTCCATGCACACACACACACACACACACACACACACACACGCACACACACACCTACCTACCTTCAAAGCTCAATAGCCTATACTGTAACTTATGTACAGAAATTGCTGAAATTAACATTTAAATTCTTGAGTTCTGTCTAAAAATGTCACAATGACCTTTGACCACCAAATTCTATTTTTTTATAATTCTAATTTTCTGTCTGCCGGGCTATAACACTAATAACTTTGGTGGTCTCCTGACTTTTCATCTTATGCCATCATCAACGTTTCAATTGTCCAATACTTTAGGTTATGAACAAATACCTTCTAAAATGAATGACAATCCCATCAACATCTGCTGATTGGAATGTCATTAACAAGCCAAACTAAGAAGGTGAACACCAAAAACAGCATTGTCCTTGTGAGCATGTTAGCATGCTGCCTAAATACAGCTTAAAGCTATGCTGTATCTAAGTTAGACTTACAGTCACTTGTGTGGCTGTACACTCTTAAGTCGCCATACTGAGAACATATTTTTTAGCATTTTCTGATGTCCATACTTCACCCGTCTCACATAACACTTTTATTTATCAAAGGTCCACACATATTCACGATTCTTCGAACATTTTGAAACCTGCATTGTTTGCATCACTGTTTACATGCTAACAGTCTTCTTCTTTCCTGCCTTTGCTGGTGTCAAGATGTAGATTAGTGGAATAGTGTGAAATTATTGGCAGGCATGTGTATTGTGAGACTCATGTGCACATAATATGTGTACATGTGCATCCTTGTTGACAAAAAACTGTTCCAAAGCAGGCAGTTTGATTTGCAGGCAGTCCTAATACAGATCTCAAAATATGAAGTGTGAATTCAGAACGCAGACCAGTAAAATTTCCTCCGCCAATATTTTTTAAACTTCTCATACTCTGCTCCTGCTAATAGTTTGGGATGTTCTTGATTGAAACCCGATAGCTACTGAGGGTCTCTGATTGGTTATGAAGGAAACACGGTGTTGGGAACGTAAAGGAGCGTGTTTGGGTTAACTAAATTTGGGAAACTAAATTCTTGACATCAATAGAATTATTAATGTCAGTAACAAT